CTCCATGACAAGCGTATGCCAGTTCCATTCAATACACTATTCAGCAGAAAGGGGAAAGGACCTTTTGAAGTTTCAGCTCGAATGGACAGTCAGCTGCAAAGACATAACGAAAGGGACAGTCCATTACAATAAGATCACAGATTTAGAAGTGGAATAGACCTTACAGGTCAGCTAATCCAACCCTCATTTTATAGCCGAGGAAAGTGAGAACTAGAAATTTAAGTGACTTGCCTAGGTTTCATAGGTAGGCCAAATGATCCTCCAAAAATTTCCCAAATACAAAACAAAATTCTACCAACTGGAGATTTGAGTTAATAAACTCTAGGATGTTTAAGAGGGCAGTTATCCTGTCCACTTTTACCCTGTTATATCCTTATTGAAAAGGAAGTAGAGACCTCAGTCTAGACCATTCAGTTACAGTATGGCCCATACCATTTGTGACCTTTGACACTTTTAATGCCACTTTTCAATTATCCCTTCTCTATTCTGTCTCATGAATGGATTCTCAGTATTCTTAAACTGTTTGTGTCAGTCGTTTTAGTATCCCTCTTAGGAGGCTTTCTGTATGCAACTATATCAAATTCTCAAATGACCCATCCTAGCTTTTAAAGATCTCCATTGCCTATCCCTCCCTCTATCAGGTGACCCCGCTGTTTTAGTCAAGAAAATCTTTTTGCTCTTATCCATATGTGGCTTTCAAATTTTCAACTATTTCCCTTTTTGTTCTTGTCATGTTCCTAAACCTGACATGTTTTTCTTTCCTTTTACATCCACCTCACCTCATTTCCTCACCCAATAATAAGAATAACAACAGCAATAATAATTGATATTTCCTTAGCACTTTATGGTTTGCCAAGTGCTAGAATCCATACCTCCTGAGTCTCTCAGTGCAGCATAGTAGAATAGAGCTCTGAATTTGGAGTCAGGGTTCGAGCTTAAACTCTTTTATTCCTACTTAGTGCCCATGGTTCCTTGGACAAGTCACTTCACTTTTTGATATTTTTTTCAATATGATGATTTTTAGATTATTTTCTTCATTTATGAAGTGAAGAGATTGGACTCAATTACATCTAATAGTGCTCTTAGCTCTCAATCATATTATAAAACCCTCTCATCCTATTCTTCTCGTTCCTAAGCACTTAGAACTTTGATGATTTTGGTAGGCTGCTTTGTCACTGCCTTATGTCCTCACACACCGACACTCATACACACACACATACACACACACACTTTGCTGCCTTAGCTTGGAGAAGCCTATGGTTTACTTATCTTAGGTTCAAGTGTTAGGGTTATTTTTTTTTATACCACTGCCCTCCTCCCTACATGAGAAACTATATTAATAACAACTAATTATCATATATGAATTATATCTTTATTAACAACTAATATAGTTTTCCAAATGCATTGCTGTTCAATGAATGGTTATTGACTTACTGCTTCAAGAAACTTCCATTTTAAAAGACATTTGGGGGGACCCTCTACCTTTTGTAGAATGGAATTCGTTATTTCTTATTGAGTTCTCTTTTTTAGTTACTGTGGCCAAATAGTTTTTCTTCATTAGCCAAGGAGCTGGGGAAAATCTCTGTGAATTTACCTAGAGTGGTACAGTGATAGACATGTAGATTAATCATTAACTAACTTTTGGGTGGAGTAGCTAGGTGGAGTAGTTAGGTGGCCAATGGATAGATTGTCAGACCTGAAGTCAGGAATACTTAAATTCAAATCTGGCCTCAGATACTTACTAGCAGTGTGACCTTGAGCCAGTCACTTAACCTTTTTTGCATCAGTTTCCTCATCTGTAAAATGAACTGGAGAAGAAAATGACAAAAACTACTCCGGTATACTAAAGGGGATCAGAAAGTCAGAAATGACTGAAAAATTTTTGACAAGTGTTTTGGGGCTGTCATGAACTGAACTGGATACCTGATTAGAGGCCAGAATACATCATTCATTGATTTACAGTAGCTTAGAATATTATAAAGTACTAGGCTATCATAATATCACTTAACATAACAGATTGACCAAGGCCATTTAATCTCCATGTAGGCATTCAGATCCAGTGAAGAAAGTCCTATCCTAGAGACAAGAGACTGAAGTTGTATCACTTTCTGACACTTGAAAGCTATATAAGCTCGGGGGGGGAAATCACCTAACCTATCTGGACCTTAAACACAAATGAGGATAATGTTATTTTATTAAAAGACAGAGAGCAGGATCAAATTATTATTTCAGTTTCTCCCATTTGAATCCTAAGGATCAGTGATTCTATGACAGGTCATGTAGATAAAACAGAAGCATTACATAATATAAAAAAGGATTTTAATATTGTATTTTTATAGTCCTAAGAGATATGTATTTTAGCAACAACTTAGCAGTAAACATTCTAGATTTCCAAATTTCTGGAAACAGATGTTTTTGAAGAATTTAAGCTCCTTGAAGGGAAATTATTTCATTTTGGTCTTGATGACTTCATCATGGATGATGATGATGATGATGATGATGATGGTGATGATGATGATTAAAAACCATAGAAGCTAACATGTATATGGTACCTTAAGGTTTACAAAGCATTTTCCGGAAATTTACTAGAGCGATACATGAAATGACTAGTTATAGAGGTGGGGAACCTGCGGCCTTGACTAGCCCTGGACTATCACATTGCCTGTCACATAGTAAGCACTTAATAAATGCTTGCAGAATCAATTCAAATTTCTGAGTTTCCTTTATGTATGAGAAATTGTACTTTGGTGCAATGTCAGAGTCCCTGCCAGAGATGAAGCAGAGACAAATTAGTTGCTCATGACAACCACATTTCCTTGAAGGAACTCTAAGAGTCCATTCTTGGAATCCTATGGCTTCCTGCAGCAAATGTTGAAAAGTATGAGTTCAGATTACATTTTATATAAAGAGGAACTACAGCTGTCTTCTTGAAACAATACCATCATTCTGTTTCCCAGAAAGAAAAACAGTATTGGTCTAGGTGAGGTAGTCATTGATATAAGGTCCATGCAAGTGAAATGGGAGCAGGGTAGTTTTAGTTCAAGTTTTTACAAATGCACAGGATTTTGCTGGCAAGAATTTCTGGTTTTTGTGGCAGACAGATTTTTGGTTCTGTCCTAACTCAAATTCCATTTGATATAGTGAGACAATATGTGGGGAAGGATAGATTGCTAAAATTATAGCCCAGAGTGCTGAGTTTGAATGTTACTTCAACGACCATGGGCAGACCATTCCATCCTTGTAAGGAATAAAAACTCTTCTAGGACCCACTTCACAAGGTGGTTGTGAGCACCAAATGAGATGAAGTGTGTTCATTAAAGACCTAGATAAATGTCAGTTATGATTGTTACAGAGAAGGCTCAGAGCCTGTGATGAAAAGAAACAGCACAATTTGCAAATAGAGTTGCAGAGGAAAGTAAGGGCTGGGTTTTCAAATCTGAGTACAAAAATGCCTTATGTTGGCTCTGTCCAAAAGAATCTATTTACTCAAATCCTGGCTCCAGCTTCTCTTTTCTTTCTCCCTGTCCTCTTCAATCAGCCAGGCCATACTAAACACTTCACCATAATAAAGACTTTCTTTTCATCTTAAGTAACTACAGACATTATACCATCATTAGGTTTAATTCAGTCCATATTTGGGCCCTTTCATTACAATGTACCTATGCTTTGATGATTTAGTTCTTCCCAACTTTGAACATGTTCCCCATTACCTAATGTCCTTGTTACAATGATTTACACCTACTTAATTTAGTTAACAGGGCTCTTCATCCTTGGAAGCAAATCTCAAACTCTAGGAAACAGATAATTAAATTATTTCTTTTTCCACCACTCCATTTCTTTTCTTTCAAAAACCCCATCCCCTTTATCACTTTAAATGGGGTAGATGGTTTGCTTTTCCCAAAAGTCAATTAACAGGTAAATAATGGATTGTGAAGTTAAAAGTAGCACTCCAATTAGCATATAAATGAAGGAAGGCAGATTGCTAGTTTTAAACAAAGGAGCAGAAATCATTTCCCCTCCTGCTAAATTTCGCATAAAAGTAGAATTTAATAATTGATGTCCAGTTATAGAATTTTGGTCACATTGCCGAATACTGGTCACTAAGGCTAGACAATTCTGGTAGCCTGGGAAATGTGCCACATATTAACATTCTTTCTTCAGATAAGAATGTGTTAGAAGCTAAGAAGAAATTCTTTCACCTCCTTTACCCATCTCCCAAGCACTGGACTTCTAAGAGCAAGGTTAAGATCTAAGAAGTGGAGGTGAAGAGGAAAGGGGGACGTTCTAGACCTGAGGGATGGTAAAGGACTTTATTGATGAGATGAGACTCCAGTTTCAAGGAGTAGCAAAGAAGACAGTTTGATTGGATAATGGAATATGTAAAGGAAAGTAATATAAAACAAACCTGAAAGGTAGACTAGAGCCAGATTTTGACAGGCTGAAAAATAAGTTAATGTTTTGTCCCAAAGGCAATCAGGAGTTATTGAAGGTTCTTGAGAAGAAATAAAGAGACCTGGTCGAATTTGTACTTTAGGGTAATTATTTTGGCAACTGTATGGAGAATTTATTGGAGAGAGAGAGTGTGGGGGTGGGGGAGGGAGAGAGAAAGAGGGAGAGAGAGAGAGAGAGAGAGAGAGAGAGAGAGGAGGGAAGGGACTTTGTAATGATTATACTATTCAAAAGGGAAATGGGCTACCTTTCTCCTTGAGTTACCTCTCACTGGGGATCTTCAGGCAAAGATTGAAGAGTACTTGTTCAGTACGTTGTAGTTATTTTAGAGGGGCTTCTTTTGCAAATGTGGGTTGGATTAAATGGCCATTGAGGTATTTTCCAACTCTGACATTCAATGATTCTGTGAAAAATGAGAATAACCAATATCACACAGCCTAACTTGACAAACATTAAAACAACAAAGAAATTGGAGTTGTTATTCAGCACATCATTTATAAAGATTCTGAGCCTACCATTTTCCTAACTCTGATTTCCATATCCTCTTGCAGATGGAAGCCCTTACACCTGGTGGGTTGGGAAAGCCAATGAAAAGCATTACTACTGGGGTGGTTCCGGACCTGGAATTCAGAAATGTGCGTGTGGCATTGAACGTAACTGTACCGATTCAAGATACTACTGTAACTGTGATGCTGACCACAAACAGTGGTAAGTGCCTATTTTGGACTTTCCTCAGGCAAGCATGCACTGTTAGCTATATATTTAAAACTCATTAGGTGAGATAGCAAGTTTGGAAGATGCTGAAAGTTTATATTCTCAAGGCTTGGAGCTAACCAACAGATGTCACTAACATGAAGAAAAGTACAAAGCCAGAAAGAGATCAACATGGGAAGTACATGAGTTGAGAAATAGACTGGTATATAATAGATATGTTAATATTTCATAAAGACAGAAAAATAATGAGCCCTGTAGCAGATAGTGATTTATGTGATAAATGAAAGAGATGTTCTTCAAAACAAGAGAAGTGGGCTGATAATGAAAAGAGAGCCTATTTCTATGTGAGTTTGTCCATACCAAGTAGTTTCTTCTATTGAAAACTGTCACATACTGAAATGTGAACTTTGAGTCTCTTTACAAAAGCACTTTCCCTGTTGTTACCTTCAGCCATCTTCCATCCCTTCTTTTCTATCATTTCTTGTTCTCTTTGATAACGCCGTGATAGCAAGTCAGTCCAGGAAATGTTTGTCTTGGAAACCTTTCATCTCTTTCCCAGTTGACAGCATAGTCTCCTGGTCATATGTCCAGCTCTGCAGCAAGTATCTGCCTATGTCAGCAGAAGAGAAGGCAGAAATCAGCTGTCACTCAGTACAGGAAGGACAGATCCAGGAGTTTATATTTAACAAATTGAGACCTGGATGTACCTCTTTTAGGAGTCATTATCATGTAGGTGTCTTTTATTCAGCATGTTAAAGTTATGAGGTGTTCCCTGTTTGAATTATTTCATTTGAGATGATAATAAGCTGATAATTGTATAGCACTTTAAATGTTGCACAGTACCTTATATGCATTCTCTCAATTTCCTTAGGCCTATTCATTACTCTATATTAGATATATAGATATTCAGGGTATCATCCCCATTTTACAGATGAGGAAATGGAAGCTCAGAGAAGCTCAGATAATGTGACATATCCAAGCACACATCTCGCCAGTGGTAGAATTGAGATCCAGAGCTTCTCTCTCTCTCTGTGTTTAGTGCTTTCCCTACTATATCAGCTATCTTTTCAGGTTTTTCAGGAGTACTAAGATAGGTTTTTTGCTCTGTTCTAATTTCTTGTCATAAAGAACAGTGTTAGGGCCTGGTATTTCCTAGTAATGCTTACCCATTCAGCATAGTCCTCCTCTACCAAACACAGAAAAGGAGCATTTAGAAGGCTGTTGTAACTACAAAGTATAATAGGAAATTAAGGTCTAGAATAGATATGAATTGTACTTTTATAATAGTATCCGTGAAAACTAATTCATCATTTCCCAAGAACCATCTTGCTCACATTAAGGGTACTTTGTAACTAAGAATACCTAAGTGAAGTCACTTTAGAAAAGATTTATGCTAAGGGACTTGGGAACAATTTTCATTGGGATGTATGGTTGTCTAGTACTAAACAAAGAATTGTCTCTTAAGTTTTGATCTGATATATTGATACGCAGGGTAAAAAACAGTATACAGCACATAGCAATATCGGTTACTAATAAATGTAAAATAATAAATTCAAAAACTTAGAGAGAGGGAAGAACAGAAAAAACAATGATGCGAACAGAAATTGAATTCCTGGGAATAAAACAGCAGCTATAAAGACAAAAGTTAGGATAAAATTAGAGGCTTTATATCAAGTTACAGCTTTTAAGATATGATTGTGAGTTAAGGTCAATTCAAGAACATGACTTCTCTTAACTGCCTTGAATTCATCATTGAGAATTATTCAATTAAAGGAGCTGTGTGCTTTTGTTCTTCTTTCTTGTTCCTTTAAAGGGAGGGTGCAGAAAAGTATCACTGAATCATGAATGTTATAGCTGGACTCTAGGTTTAGAAATCTATTTCAATACCCTCATTTTGTTTGAAATATATTTTATCGATACCTTTGTCTTTATATCACAGTCTTTTCTGAAAAACAAAACAAACCTCTACCTCTTGATTGATAATCTCTCTCCTTGGGACAAAGAAAAACAATTCAGTGAAGCCATCCAATGCAGTGAATTCATTTGACAATGTATACAGTAACTTTTTTCTAATAATTTCCCAGGCTTCTGCTATGGCAAGGTTTCATTATTTGTGGTGTGGTTTTTATCAGTTACTCAAGTCAGCTTCTTTTGAGGGATCTTTTTCTATCATTTTTTTCATTCTTCTTATTTCACTTTTCATCAGTTCATACAAATCTTGCAGTTTTTCTCCAAATTCATTGTATTTGTCATTTCTACTATATGATAAAATTCTATTTTCTATGCCATACTTTTTTTTAAAATCATGTCCTAGTTGATGGGCATCCACCTTGTTTCTAGTTCTTTATTAACACCAAGAGTGCTACTACTGATATTTTGGTGTATATGGGATTTTTGTGTCTGTCTCACTTCTGTTGGGTATGTGGCCCTTAGTGGGATATTTGGATCTAATGGTATGAATGGTTTGGTCACTTTGTTTACATAATTCCTGATATTATATTAGTGTCTGTCATCCAACCCTCCAGCACTCAACATACCAAGTTTTTGTTAACTTTGTCAATTTGTTTAACATGAATTGAAACCTTAGGATATTTTTTAATTGCCTTTCTTTTTAAAATGCATGTTTTATATCAACACATCTAATTAAATTGCTTTACTATTCTGTAAATTTAAATACAAATACTTTCAAAAATCTGATACATATTAAATAGGAATTTATGTAGTTCTACTCTAAGTTGATATTTCACAAAATAGGTATTCTTCAGAAGTACTAAGCCCAAGTTTTCTTTCTAAACTTTTAAAAAGCTTTATTGATACTCTTAAAATTTTATCACTGCCCACCAACCTCCTCCTTACATTTCCACCCAAGTAGAGGTCTTGTTTTATAACAAATACATATAGATAAGCAAAACAAATCCAAACATTAACTATACCCTGATAATTGATGTGTTGTTTATCTCTAGTCCATCATCTCACTATAAAGAATTGCAAGATATGCTTCATCACTCTTTTGAAATGATAATTTATCTATGCCTTAGTCAAAGTTCTGAGATCTTTTAGAGTTGTTTCCCTCATATTTTTGTGGTCTTCTTGTAAATTTTCCTGGTTCTGCTTAATTTCACTCTGCATCAGTTTATATACTGTTTTCCATATTTCTCTGAATCTGTCATTTCTTTACTTCTCATGGTATAATAAAACTCCATTGCATTAATATCTAACAATTTAGTCAAACATTCCCCTTATGATAGACACTTACTATTTTCCACTTCCTTGTCAAAACAAAATTTGTGGTACAAATATTCATGTATGTATGAATCCTTTCCTTCTGTCTCTGACCTCCTTGGGATATGAGTCTAATAGTAGCATTATTTGGCCAACAGGAAATTTTAGTTTAATGACCTTTTAAATATACTTCCAAACTGTCTTCTAATATGATTGAACCAATTCACAATTCTACTAACAGTGCACCAATGTGCCTGTTTTCTCACAACTCCTCCAATAATTGCTATTTTCCTCTCTGTTCATTTTTGCCAACTTGATGGGTATGAAGTTGAACCTTAAAGTTATTATGTCTTCCATTTCTCATTAATATATTGACTTGGGGAATTTTTTACATGGTTTTTGATAGACTATATTTTTTGTGATGAGAACTACCAATTCATATCATTTGATCCTTAATATTTTGAGGAATCATATATTTATATCAGATCTTTATGCAACTTGAAAATCAACTCTCTACAATATTAATTAGCTGTGAGCATTTTTCCAAATTATATCTTACTTTCATGGTCTATATGTTGCATTTGCAGAAATATTTCAATTTTATGTAATCAAAGTTCTTTACTTGATGTTTTTATAATCTTCATCACTTGTCTAGGCAAGAAACCTGCCCTTGCCAAATTTGTGGAAGATATAGCCTTCCCTTGTTCTTATTTTTTTTCATTATTTATCCCTTTATATGTAGGATATGCATTCATTTGGAATTTCCTGTGGATATGTGGTCTAAATCTAATTTCTGCAAGATTCTTCCTAGTTTCCCCAGCAATTTTTATCAATAGAGACTCCTTACCCCATATATGAGTATCCCCAAGCTTATAAAAATCTATATTATGTTCAAATTTTTTTTTACATCTTATTTATCTTGTTCACCTAATCTATTCCACTGATCAACTTTTCTATGTGTTAAGTAATACTGAGTCATTTTAATGATTACTTTTTTATAAGATAAGTTAAAATCTGCACGTGCAAGTACTCTTCATTCCTACTTTTCCCCCATTATTTCCTTGGTTACTCTAGACTTTTTCTTCAGAGAAATTTCATGGTTATTTTGTCTAGTTCTATAAAATAACCTTTTTGTGGTTTCTTTTAGTACTGAATATGTGAGTTAATTTTGGCTATATTGCCATTTTTGTTATATTGGCACAGTCTAACCATGAGTAATTAATATCTCTTTACTTATTTAAGTCAATTTTTATAAAAAGTGTTTTGCAATTGCATTCATAAATTCCTGAGGTCAATGCTGCAAACATTCTGTATTTAAATAAGTTTTTATTTCATATTTTTTCTTGCTGTACTTGATTAAAAATATGTTCATTTCAATTCTCTTATTATCAGTGATTTGGAACATATTTTTCAAATGGTCATTGATCATTTGTAATCTTTATTTGAAAAGCTATTAATTTCTTTCTTTTGTGCACATAACCACTGGGCAGTGGCTTTTGGGGTTATATATTTGTGTTATTTCCATATTTACATGTATATGTATACATACATATGTATGTGTGTATGTGTATATATATATATACATATATATATTATATATATATATATATATATATAATATATATAATATATATTATATATATATATATATATATATATACATATATATACACACACACACACACATTTATATATCAGACTTTAAAAGGTATTCTTTATTGAAAATATTTTTCCAACTCTATAGTTTATCTTCTTAATATATCTTAATTTTT